ACAACAAGAAAACCCTTGTAGTGGCTTTGCCAATATTTCACCATGTTTGTTTTTGCTCATAGCAAGTCCTGTTTTAAATCACAATAACACGTTTGACTTCTGAGAGAGGATGACCAGAGATTTATTCTGTGCTGCATGGAAATAGCCCATTCCAGCAGAAAACTGAGCTGTGGAGCGGAGTTTTGTCAGGGAAGAAATCTCATCTGGATAAATGGCACTCCTCAGCAATGTGTGGTTACTTGTAAGTATGTTAGTACTGACATCAGATTAATGCTGTTCATCCACTTGATTGTCATTTCCCCCCTCTTCCAGCGCTCCTCCTACTCTTTCTTTGGAAGGTTTAATCAACCAACTTAAGGCTTTTTAACAGGAACAAGGATATTTTCAAGACAAAGACATTAAAAACAACTTCAAGTAATTGCAGCATAGAGTTGTGCTTTTACTGAATGTGGTTGGGTATGTACATACGTACAAGTGGCACAGCCCCTCTTCCCTCAAGTCTTAGGGCCAAACGCTACTTACTGGTGAATTTCATTCAGCCTTAAGCCAACACCATATAGCCTAGCTGAGAAGGAAAGGTCAAGTCAGAAGAAATTCATTCACTGCTGGATCTCAGGGGTGGAGTGGGTGGGGAACTTGTAGGGAAGTTAAACATTAATTTGCTTGTCATGCTAACTATCCAGCATTCAGAGACTGATGGTTACTACTTTCCTAATAGCTGAGTAGGATTAACTTTATATTCTTGTAAATTTACTGTGCACGTTGTCTGTGCTATATGCGATGAAACCCATGTACTTCTTAGCTGATCTTTCAGCCATGATGCCTAACATGCAAGACACCCTTTGCTTGTATATCTGTATCAATGACACAGTGCGATCGAGTGCACCCTCAGTAAGTTTGCAGATGACACCAAGCCAAGTGGAACAGTGATACAACAGAAGGAAGGGATGCCATCCAGAGGGACCTGGGCAAGGCTGAGAATTGGGACCACGTGAACTTAATGAGGTTCAACAAGTGCAAGGTGCCAGCAGTGTGGGCTTGCAGCCCAGAAGGCCGACAATTCCTACTCTTTTCCAAGGCACAAGTTACAGCATTAAGACTGCTCATCAGCAATTCAAGCCTCTTCTTCAGTACCACGTATGAAAGAGAAGCAGGCTGACATGCCAAGAAGCTGAGGAGTTTGCCATGAGGACCTCTTTCAAACACAGCTCTGCTCTCAGTCTCCCCAGCCCAGCTGTGTCACCAATCTGTGGCCTCTCCCTTGGTCCCTCACCTGGGGCTTTAGCATCAACTGGCGAGCAGATGAAAGGCTCAGCCATCCAGCTGTGCACAGCGCCTCAGGTCACGCAGTGCCAGAGGGACATCAGAGCATGTTGCAAATGCATGAGGTGCACCTCTGGCTGTGCAGAGCAGAGGGAGAGAGTCAACTCCAAGGCTTATTGCACAACACAGCTGGAAAGATCTCTTTAGGATGTGCTTGAGTGACAGTACAGACTGTAGCAGGGCAGGGTCTGAAGCACCTGCAGCATCCTTGCCCGCAGACCTGAGCAATGCCACCAAGTAGTCATCTGCTGCAGACAAACAAGCAAGTAGTGTTCATTTTGGTACCATTAACCAGTCTGTTTAAATACAGGAAGGTTGGGTGAGTACAAGGAATCTTGGGAAAAAAAAATAGCGAAAAAAAGCAGTAGAAAGAAACAGGTCACGTGAAGAGGATGGGAAGGAAGGGGAAGAGTTATTACCCAGTGTTTATGGAAATGATCTCCAGAGCAATGGTAGAGAAATGGGCAGTGCACGTGGAGAACAGCCACCTGCATTTACTCTGCACTTTTAACTGCAGGAGGTCCCAAGATGTGCCAAATGAGCGAGAGCTCACAAGGTCCCCTCCAGAGAATGTCCAAGCTGGTGCCATGCAGGGAATGGAACAAGCTTCCTGCAGCCAAGCGAGGTGGCTGATGGCACTCCCTGCAAGGGACCTTTTGCAGAGATTTCCAGCTCCTCCAGAAAGCAAGTGTAATGGTTTTTCCTAACCTTTCTAGATCACAAAATCATATGCAGGCATTAGGGTTATATAGCAGGGCTGTTTGCTACCATATGCATTGCCAATGCATAGCATCAGGAACACTGAACTTTTCAGAACTTGCTAAGTGCTGTTATAACTCAGGTAATAATGATAAAAATAGCAACAATACAACAGTGCCTTCACCAGCACACTACAGCAAAGCTAACTGCAAAGCCTAAATGCTGAAGAGCAATAAATGGTCCTCTCATCACTCTTATCACAGATATCTCTACGCAGGGTGGGTGGCTTTTGCTCCATATGTCATCTCCAGCAACACACCATGAAGTTGCAAATGGCATTCCTGAGCATGCCAAAATGCCCATGCAGTAAAGATAAACACTGAAATGATTATATAAATTTATTTCCAGCTTTCACCTGAGTATTCAGGATGTCTCCTTTTATTTCTGTTATATATTACTTTTATATTGTGAGACCAATTGTGAAAGATGACAAATACGGGATGGCAGGAACAATCAGGATATGGAATTGCCTCCTGGGACAGAGATGTGTTCTCATAGGGCGCTTCCCCACCCCCCTCACCCCCCCTTTTACCTTTTATTTTTATGATTAGACAATCACTGTTTAGCCACCTCAGGGAAATGCAAGGTGAATTAGGAGAAAGAAGGCCAAGGTTATCATGGAAAAGTTTAATCCCTCCTCAGTGGAAACCAGTTAATAGCTATGGCTAGACTCAAGTATGGACCTCTGTTGGGAATCCCAGTGAAGGTCAAAGGCAGAGAGGAAAAAAGCTGCATGGAGATCTTAGACAGTCATAAGCAGACAGATGTTCCTAGGCTTTAATGAGCAGTCTTGGCTCCAGGCCTTTCTTGGCAGAGTTGTTTAGTTTTAGTATTTTTCCTTGTAGTGCAAGGTATGGCTCTGGTTAGCTGGCTCTGCTTAGTTAACTGCTGATGATTTTTCCATCTAAATAATAGCTTGACAATGAAGAAACCAGTTCATAATCTGTGACTTGATGGATTAGGTCATGGGGAATGGTGTGCAGTTGTAATCACGAAGAACAAAAAAAAAATAAATAAAAATAATAATTCTGGTTTAAATGAAAACCAGCTTTATGAGTTTGAACAGCAAATCTGATGAAGCTCCTATTGCAATTTCTACCACTCCATCTTATGTTTTTATTGTCATGGACAATAAACAGAAGGAAAATGACAGGAAATAGACTTTTTCTTAACAAATTCTATTTCCAAATCAGCCTGGTGGGGATTATGCCCCTAATTTGGAAACTTGTTTGGGTTCACCAGTGCTAAGAATTTTTTCTTGACAATCTGCTGTGCCTAAGTGAAATATGTTAAATTGGGAAAACAGGCTCGGCAAACATCTTCTTCTCTGAAGGGAAAGAGGCTACACATCCAACTGTTATCAGACTGGGAAATCAGTAACTTTTAGTGGACAACAGCAAAACAGCCCTGTAAAAAAATCTGAAGATTTTTAACCCTTGTTTGGTGGGACACAACATCTTTACTGTAATAGCCACCACATTGCTTGCTGGAGAAGAATTTTTTTATTTGACAGGCATGTAGCAACCCTGATGTAGCCAGGGACTGAATTCAGTCTCTTTCCTATGTTTCCAAGTGTCTATTTTCTGGGTGTCACAACTGCTCTGATATAATGTGATATTGTGAATGGAAATGTTTCCGTAGGATAAGCTCTCATTTTAGACTGCTTTTGATTATAATAGCACAGACCCTGGTCTCCGTGAAGGAAATGGAAATGTCTAGGTGGCTTAAGTATGAGCAGACCTTGGATCTCAATCAGCTACAAGTCAATAAAAAACTTAAGAGCCTCACATTGGCAGGTTATACAAATTCCCTGTTCCCTCTATGTTCTCTGCTGATTTCTTTTCTTTTTGGAGGCTATGAATTATGTCTCTTTGAAGCTCTTTTTTAGCACATCAGAATCCCGTCCATTGTTGGTTGGTTCAGTAAAGCTCACCCTTTTCCACAACCAAGTGTGAAATCTGCTTTGTGATAAATATCTGATGGTGCAGGAGCTCTGGGCTTGCTCCCAAGCTAAATTCATTTATATTGCAGTGAAACACCTGCCTCTGTGTCATCACAAATGCAGCTCCCTATTGTAAAGTACAATTCAGTCTTTCAGACAAGATTCAGATTCCTTTCCCCCAACTCTGTGGGAGAGGAACAGATGTCCTTAGCATCCAAAAGAGCTTCCTCCCTTCCTATATATTCAGCTTGTATTTCCAAGTCATGCATCCTCAAACTCTTCAGAGTCAATTGGCTAGGGTTTATTGTTTCGATGACACCAGTCCCTCCCACAGCCACTTGATGCTCAGGATAATTACCTTACACCACACCTGCCAACTGGAAGTGACAGATTTACGCAAGGATTGTACCCAGGGTCTCCATATATTCAGCACTGCCATTGCTGTGATGGGTCCCTCTGGACCACCAGTACACCACACCAGGCATGGGACATTGACCCACAGCTTCCCCTACAACTTGCCCAGCCCATCAACAAATTGATTTTGTACACTTTGTGGGCCAGAGGGAAGACTGCTCAGTACTATGGCTGTACTCCCAAAGGCTGGGCAATGACCAAGACCTCGAGACATTAGATCCCAGAAAGAGGGATGCCTACTTTTCCAACAGACTTTGCAATTGCTGCTGTTGCAGAACGCAATGGCTAGATTTTTGAAGAACTTTTGTTCCAGCAAAGATAAATGTACAAAGGCAAGAGAAATATTTATATATTAAATAAATAAATAAATAAATAAAAGTTTAACAATTCAAATACTTCTAAAGGTTTCAGCTTAACATGCGACCAAAACAGGATTAGATGACAAAAAGCCAGAGAAGTTAGTGACTCAAACATAGTTGTTGGAAAACACAAGTTTTAAATTATTCAAATTTAAATTTAATTTTAAATGCAGAAAGATAAAATGGAATAAAATGGAGCTTACCTGAAGAGGCTGAAGAATCATAAGTACTTCTGTCCTTCCTATTTGTCCTGAAGGGCTGAATGTCCTTTTCCCTGTAAGTTCCAAACCCTTCAAAGCTTCTTCTTTTATTCCCACTTGCATCGTTGTCCCGCTTCTCACTCGAGGAATTCATTTCACCAAACATGTCCAGGGACTCTGATCTTGCATTACTCTCAGTATTACCAGAGTATCTTTTTGTGCAAGAGTCAATGGGATCATTGCTTGAGTCACTTTTATCTTTACTCTGCGTCCACTGCTGGGCATCAGAAAGTGATAACGTAGACAGCGTATCCACTTCGAAGTTACTCTTTGAGCCTTTGTGCCCAGATTCACAATGCTGGTGCTTCTGCTTCTCCTTATGCTTGCTTTTCTCATTGAGCAAGGAGAGATCTTTATCTGAGCCACTTAGCCTTTCATTGATTGCATGGCTGGAGAAGCCAGTGGACTTGCTAGCAAAGAGACCACTCAGATCTTCATGTGTCCCCAGTATCCGCTCATCCTTATGCTTGTGCTTATGTTTGTGTTTCCTTTTGTGAAGTCGGCCACTTGAAAGGCTTGTTCCTCCGACCTTTGGAGGAGCCAAAGAGGACTGCATGTCTCCAAGGCCCATTCCCACAGGTGTTTGTAGGTGCACTCCATGTTTTGTTTTATGCTTGGCAGTGGTGGACATCTTCATATGAGAGCTTGCATGGAATTGGGGTGGGGGCACGGTAGGTCTCATAAATGGGGAAGCCGCTCCGAGCGTGTGAGACAGGTACAAAGGAGCTGGATACTGACCATAGTAACCAAGATTCATCATAGGCATTGATGTGTAAGGCATTCCATAGGGTGCATAGTAACTCCCACTGGGAATAGGGTAACCGAACCCTTGTAAAAAAGGCACCTTTGTCATGGTGTCATTGGTTTTGGCAGGTCTACCACGCTTCTTCTTAGACTTCATATCAGAGGTCCTGCGAAGATAGAGCAATGGGTCATACTGGATATATGGCACAGGATAGTAGTGATCAAAATTAATCCTGAAGATGCTGGGATATGGATTTTCATGATAAAATGTGTAACTTCGATGGGAAATCCTGAACACTTGAAACTTATTGATGAGTTCCTCAAGGTCTGCCAGAAACTGGAGGTCATCTCTGTTCTGCAGGCTTTTCCTTTTCCTCTTGTGCTTTGGCTTTTTAATGCTCTCATGAGAGAGAAAGTTATCCACAATGAGATGTTTCTGCCGGTGACCATGCCTGTTCTTTGTGCTGGTGTCAGATGGGATAGCCTCTGGATTGTCCAGGCTGCAGAAATCAAAGGAGTATCTCCGGCGGGATTCTGAGCTTTTCTCGGCTTGGTCAGAAGTGCTGTTGTTGTCTGTACCTATCCCGCTGTCGCTTGGTATGGTTTCCTCACTGTGAGACTCACTCACTGGCGACAGAGTGACTTCTTTCAGAGAACCTATTTCACAGAGGTGGGAAGGTGAATTAGCCATTAACCTGGGTGGAGACAGCTTCCAAGTTCCACTGTGCATTCCTTTCTGGGTTTTTGTAGGAAGAGCACTGATAGGTTGAAGATTTGGCATAGTTTTTAACTCTGAAAAATTTGTTTCAGTACTTGCAGGGCTAAGGTTGCCATTAGTCCCCACTAACTGTGTCGAAAGCGGATGAATAGCTGCTGGTGACGATGCCACAAGTGACTGCAGGTTGGAAGGCACTGCTGGGTTTTCTGGCTGGCTGGAAACAGGCCTTGAGTGCTTGATGGCTGTCTTAGGTTCTTCTGTCTGAGGCTGCAGCTCTGCTCTTGGCTTTCTGCCCCTTTTTTTACCAATATAGATAGTCCCCCTCTTGCTGACATTGATCTGCTTCCCTAGCCTGGCATCAATGGTTGTTGGCCCAGCACTAGATGGTGGCTGGACTTTCGCTTTCAGAGCTATGCTGCTGGAGCAGGAGGACAAGATCTGATTGAGAATATTCTTCCTCTTGAGGGTCTTCATCTTGTTAATGGTCTTGATAGTCTTCTTATCCAAGACCCCAAGCTTCCCAACCTTTTTATGAAATTTGAGTTCACTGATGGACTTGTCCTCTCCTGGGACCAACTGGGCCAACTTGGCCAGATTACGTCTCCTCTTCCTTTTCTTTGTTCCTGGAAACTCACGATTGATTGGACTCACTGGGCTGGTAGAGGTTCCCTCATGAATGGTTTCAACAGTGAGCAAAGGCTGTTTCTTTGGTCGTCCTCTTTTTTTCTTGACAGGTGTGATCACAGTAAGACTGTCTGTATTGGTATACAGAGGGCTGGATGGTGTGATGGGATAGGCTGAAGGAGGCTCCACCATCAGCTTCTCCGATGCTGTCATGGAGCTCTCCCGAAGGAGAGATTTAGGTTTGCTGCAGGTCCATCGCCGCTTAGCTGCAAGTTTGGGGTGCTGGACCTCAGATAATTTGCTAGCTGTAGGAAGATCGGTGGATAGGAGAGTGGGTGTCACAGCTACAGGTTTTCTAAGTCGGGTGGCGCTGTTGGGGGAAGCTTTGTCAGTAAGCACACTGCTGTCAATAGCTACTAAGGGGGACTCATTTTCAATCACTTTCCCTGGCTTTGTGGCTCGAAGATCTTTTTTACTCCCCTCTGACTGAGAGCTAGTCCTGTTTGCTACTTCACTGCTCATAGCAAGTGCAGAAGGCAGGCTTTTCTCCTGGATAGTTTTCTCCATAGAAGATTTTGTAGATTGCCTTTTTTTCCTTTTGTGGCCAGATGAATCTGTTGTCGGAGACTTAATTGGGATAGTAATTCGTACATGACTGGTGTCACTTTCACAACTGCTAGCAGAAGTGGGATTCTGCTTCGAGGGTGACACGTCCAACACAGTGTCCATCGAGTAAGACTCCTTTTTTCCTTCCATGCTGTCATGGGATTTGCTATCAAATACTTTTTGAGCACTCTTCACCCATTCAATGTCTGCAGTTTGGATGGTTTGATTTATCAAGTCTTTTTTGCTGGACTTCTTCTTTGTACTCCCAGCAGGCTGATCGGGGGCCTCCAGCTGCACACTTCCCTCTTGATCACTAAGAGTCAACAGCCCGTTGCATTCAGTAGCGCTGCTTGGCTGGGCAGCTGCACTAATGTTGTTGGGTGATGGGACTGCACTGCAGATGGCAAGCTCTTTGCTGCTGGCTGACAGCTGCCCCCATGTGCTGCTGGCACAGGACTTCTTTGCTTGGGATTTGCTGAAGGAAACTCCTGGCTCTGGAGTGGTGGCCTTGGTGGCACTGACTGCTTCTCGACTGGGTTCTGTGTTGATGAAACAACTTTGAGAAGTGGATCCAGTATCAGAGCTTGCTGACCAGTCAAGATGGTGCTGGTTGCTACTTTTCTGCTGGTGCTTTGATTTTAAGGTGTCACCGGTGAAGTCTTGTTGGAGGCCTGGATCATAGTGCAGAGCAGAATGTTTTTGTGGCCTGTCATACACCTGGAATGCAGAAGAAAACAAAAATAGGAAAAAATGTTAGTTTACCAGTCCAGTTGTAACCACTGGTTTCAGCTCTTTCATTATACAATGAATGAAAACTCTTCTAAGCTGACGTCCTCATAAGGATTAGCAGCCTTTATAAAATGTTCTTATACTCCAGTCAAATTTTTAGATTCATGCACTGTAAACAAGTTTTGTTTTGTTTTCCCATTCTAAAAACAATAGAAATACTTCTAAAATGTTAAATTGTTGAGGAAACATCTTCTATTGATTTTTAATTTAAAACACAAGTAAAATATTCCTTTTCAATGGATGAATGGTGTAACTCAACGTCCTGGTGAGAATCTCGTTTTCCTTAAATGTAATTCCTTGCAGAACTTGATCAGAACTAATCCCATTGTAAACAACAAGAATGCAGAATTATCTAAGAAGTTACAACAAACTAGACGAAAACCCATGAGCTCACTTCTCCATGAAGTCAAAATCTGAAAAAAATTACTTGCTTTAATTTTCACATAGAAGACATCCCCACAAAATCAGTGCTTAAAAATGATAAGCATCAAGTGTGTTGGGTATGCTTGATGTTCAAGCATGCTTGGGTTCAAGATTTGCATTACTCTTTTTCCATTTTAATAATTTCCTCTTGCATTGTTGGTAAGAGACATTTTCAATATTATTTCTAATCCCACAGCAGCCTTTCAAATTGCAGGGGAAATTTGGTAAGGGCAGAACTACACCAAAAACTTCTATAGAGTTAAAGAAAGTCTACTTTTTCTTATTGGTAGGCATTCTTCAGATAGAGAAATTATATTTGTTATATTTGTGCCTTTTTCTAAAGTATCTTAAAACAAACAAACAAACAAGAACAAACAAACAAACAAAAAAACTTTTTATTTTCCATAACTGATCTCTCCTAGCCATTTGTTTTCTTCTGTGAAATTTAGGTGCTATATTTTGTAAAGTTCTGGACCTAACTGCGCAACTGGTTTCGTACACCTAGTACTACAAACAACTGTTCTTAGCAAACTGTAATGACACCGTTCTGAATTCCAAATAAATGATGAGAGACTTAAAATAAATGCGTAACCAAGGAAAGAACAATAGAAAACAATTGCTTAGCGTCTCATGTTGCTGCAAACACGCTGTTACAATTAAGTTTCTATCAGCAGCCTTACATTAGATCCCTGCTTGGGGTGTTTGCCAGAGATTCTGGGGTCAGCGTAACAGGGCTCTGAGCTCCTTCAGACTTAGTTTTCTGGGAAAATACGTGTCCCTAGTTTTGGGCAACTCTGGAGGGATTTGAAAGGTGCTAAACAGTTGAAGCCCACAGTACTTTATTTAGTGACCAATAAACATGCAAGTTATAAGCAAATTGATAATGTGATATTCTTAGTGTGCATATAAAAACAGGCATGTGGCCTTTCTGGAATAGGCAGCAATGATGAAGCTGTTCTAGTCCATCGTTTGAGGAGTAATCAGGGACTCTTAAATCCTGTGGATAGCTCAGCTGTCGTGCATATGGACCAGCTATGCTTGGGGAAAGCAGAGATTTCCAGGAATTGTGGAGTGAGAAAATGAAAGCACGCAGCTGCGGTGAAGCTGCAGATGTCGCGGGCGAGTGACACCCGTTTTTTTCAGCCTGAGAAAAAAGCCGAAAGCATAAACAGACCTCAGGGAATGAATCAGTTCATCCTCCTTGCAGTGGCCTCCCACGCGTGAGCCACACAGCGCGCAGTGGCCCAGGGCTGCACGGCTCCTGAAGCACGATGTCAATGTCTGCCTTTGGTAAAACACGAGAGAAAATGCAGCCCACCCACTTCCCCGTCCTCGGGATGAGGTTTAATAGCTTGCTGTGCCACACGGAAAACATCCTCTTCCTGACGTAACTTGATGTCTGACTTGAAAAAGGCCTGGAAATGGAGGGCCGAGGCCTCTGCTGGCCTGCACCAAGGCAGGGCCAGGCTGCTTCTGCAGAGATCCTGGCCTTGTGGCTGCCATCAAAGCAACTCCCCCACCCCACACCCACGTTATTTACAAAATGCAAAGCTGCAAAACCAAATGACCTGAACAATTTTATTTGCAAAAAGAGAGGCTTAGAGCTGTGAGTGAAAACATACACTGACAACACCTTGGTCCTTCGAGCGCACTGTACACATGAAGCTCTCTGGTTTAAAAGAAGCAATGCTCTCTGATCTATGTTTAAAGGCAGTTAATAAGGGCTCAGAACTGAGAGGCCAGTTGTATATCAGAGATGAGAGCTGATATATCACTTGGCTCCTCCAGCCTCATTTTCTTGTCCTGCACCTTATAAAATGATGATGCAACTTCCAACATATCCCTATTGTTAACTTTGTCATTACTGCAGCACCACGGGGCACCACAACATCCATCTTACAACTCACGAGAAAGATATGCCCCTATCATCAAAGGTGCCAACTCTGGAGGCATTTAACCACACTGATAATCACTCCATTTTCAACAGGGTTTCAATAAACAACTAGTCTGCAGGATCAGAGGACTTAATTTCCTAAGAGAGATGTCAAAACTACATATCTGCTGAAGCACATAACAGTCCACTGCGTCTCCTCATGCTACTTCTTCCAGCACAAGGTTTACTGTTTACTCTCCCTTGCCAGACACATCCAGGTCACCCCAAAATAATTCTTCTGCAGCTTGGTAACCAGAGATCATGTGGCTGCAGCAGCTTGTGTTTCACTTGCTGGAATGAATAGTGCGGACTGTCCACTTAAAAGCATGGGCAACTTGGTTGAAAGTAATGCATCAAAATCTCTTTTATTCCTGGTGTGTCCTTCTGGGTTGCTGTCTGATCCCATCAGTACTAATTTTTAGGTGTCAACTTGCCCTGCTGGATAAGCACCACCCTAAGAAGCAAACAAGCCCCAGTTTAGTATACCTTACTCCTGAGATGAGTTAGCAGAAGATACCAGAGATGTCAGTAGGATAAGAGTGAACAAGACTCTTCAGAAACCTGTACCTTGGTGCCTTTCACAGAAATTCATTATTTTATTCACTTGGGAAAATGTAATATACTACAGCTCTATAGTTCTCAGCAAGGGGCTCTTGACTTGAACAGAGCTTCTATGGCAGCAGAACTGAGACCATCACCAAGAATAGTAGGCTTTTTCAAGAAAACAGAAAGATTTACCTTTATTTACTTTTGTTGTTGTTGTTGTTTGGTTTGTTTTGTTTATAATACCCTAAAAATACTTCAAACTTAATGCCTGACTATATTTGTAGCTTGCCATTTTATTAAAGGATATTTTCTTCAGCAGCTAGCCATTCTGGACAGGACCCTGCTCCTTTGTCTGTTAGTAGAAGTGTAACTTAACCTGTGTAATTTTATCACTTCTCAACAAACTTGGTCAATTTTTCTCTTGACATTCAGTTTACAGGAAGTGATCAGTGGGTAACAATCCCATCTTTCCTTAAAAAAAAAAAAAAAAAAAAAAAAAAAAACACAAACGGATATGGAAGCTAGCAGTTTTTGTAACTGCAAAGGAGTCTGAGCAACATAATCCAGTATATGCTAAGCTGTAGACTAAAAAAATAAAGCATGAATCCTCTTATCATTAGTGAAATGGTTTTAGTGACAAGCTCATAAGATTCATTCCTCAAGCTTAGGCTGTTATGGGTAGGCCCACAGGCAGGATACTTTCCATTTACCAGCAGTTGAAGTGCACTATCCAGAGAGCAGAGGAGATGGCACTGTGTGCTTTACCTGCCTTGTCAGACCTGTGCATCCCCACACTTGCAGATATGCTTACTCCTCTTTACAGTTTTATTCTGGTATACAACCCTTGCATGTGAAAAGAATAAGCATTTTATATCAGTCTCCTGATGAACGGCACCCTACTCTGCAAGCAGTACCCAGTGGCAGAATTCATCCCTACAGGACTTTTTTAATTTAACTACTGGATGTCTCACGCTGCCTCCCTGTTTCCTCTGAGCTTCTCTTCAAACCTGTATGTTGCTTCCAGCCCCAAGGCAGAAGGAGATACCATAACCAAATCAAGTACTTAATAAAGTAACAATAAAAATCCAAACTAATCTATAGAAAAATTAAAATAAATAGGGAAAAAGAATGGAGAAACTTATTATGTGAAAAAAAAAAAAAAGGTTGCTTAGAGGGTGTGGTATCCTTGTATTCCAAATGCACCTTTATTCCAGAGGTAACACACACACAGCTTGTCAGGAATCTGGCTTGCAAATCAAAGTTAATACTACAACGCCCCCTCTTTAAATCATTCGCAGATCCATCTGTGTAATGGCTCCTCAAGTGTAATTCCCTATTAAGAGGCTTTATCTGGAGAGATAAGCAGCTGGTTCCCATGTCACTAATTGCTGTCTGCTGTGATTTTAAAACATCTGCACCATTGTGCTCTTCATTTTCATATTCTAATCACCCTGAAACTTGAAAAAGGTACATCATTGATTGTTTCTGTGGGTTAATTAGTACACAGTCTCCTTGTAGAGACAATTTAAAGGCAGTCAGAACCTCAATCAGCAAGTTTGTTTTAAAAATTAATAACATCGGGAGTGTCTGTGGGGATTGGCATCCACAGTGACACATCAGAGCGTGCTCTGGGGATATACCATCCTTTGTTATCTTCTTCATAGACTGGAAATAAAATTATTAAAAAAAAAAAAAAAAGAAGAAGAAAAAGAGGAAAGGCTTTCCTAAATGCATAATGTCACTTAGAATCAGAGTCTTGGGAAGTGTTTACTTTTATCTCAGGGCCACCCCTGCCTCTCAAGCAGGCATGAATCTCAGCAAAACATTGCTCAGTAACTCTGTGTGATCTAGGGACCTAGGCATTTTTGGCAGCAAATTGGGCAACAAGGAGCTGGCATCTTATTGGAAATCAATGGGGTGAGGCTGTGACCACTTCAATGTGTGCAGGCCTGGGGACTGCTTGCCACCTGGGTTGTCTGGATGCTGGGACACAAGGTTGTTCCCAAGCTATGCAGAGATGCTATTT